TTGCAATTGTAGGACACTAATTTGAGATAATTTAAGATTTCAAGACTCTTTGGGAAATATTTTTCAATCCTACCGTCATTTGAATTTTTTTTTTTAAAATCACCCATTTCAAGAATTATGCCAATGAAAATTTCCTCAGCAATACCATTGCAAGTCACTATCAGGATTCATTCTCAATTTAAGCTCCTTTTCTTCAACGATTTAATTTTTAATTTGGAGTGTTTGAAATTAGTTATCCACATTTTTTTAAAAGATGTTGTTAAATATATATATATATATATATTTTTTCTTTTATCTTTATTTTAATAAAATAATTACAATATATATTGTAATAGGAACACTTATTTAAATAGTAATTAATAAGGTATAAATATAAAATTTTATCAATTAATTATTACATTTTTATTTTATTGACTACTTATGTCACTTACCATATATATACACATCTTCCTTAGTAATGCCTTACATCATTTTTTTAATATATTAAAAATTAGTTACTCAAGATTATAAGTGTTTAAAATTATTTTAATCAAGATTTTTAATTTAATAAGTGTTAACTCAATTAAACTCTTGTTACTTAATAATGCCTACATCATTTTTCTTCTCAATTACTTTTGAACATGGAATAAAATATTTTCTTGTCAAATTTTTGGGTTTGTAAAAAATTAAGATATCCTACTAATTAAAATATCAGAACTCCTATAAAAAAATTTAAATACCCTTAATGAATAAATATAAAAAAATTTTATAAAAATATTTAAATAATTTTATAGACAATTCTACCATTTTAAATACTAAAAATTTTGACTTTTCTTTTAATTTTTATTTAAGTTAACCTTCAAATCCACCCCAAATAGGGCCTGAGGCAGAACTGTCCTTAAAAAGGATTTAAAAAAAATTATCTTCTTAAATTGTTTTGCATCAAATAACCTATTATTTCATCGATATAAATCCACCAATGCACAATGGATGTGGATGATTCACAGCGAGGTTGGATACTCCACAAGAGCGGCATACCAGTTTTTTGATATCAATGCCCCAGGAATCGGATGCTGAAATTTATAGTAACGTTTGGAATCCAATGGTACCCAGCAGAGTTAGTGCCATGGTGTGGCAAACGGTCCAAAATCGAATCCCAACCAAATTTGAGTTATTCAGAAAGTTAAAATACTAATTTGGTCTCTCAACTTCAAAAAATACTAAAATTATTTTCAAACTTTAATTTTAATACCAAAATAGTTTGAAGATAATACCAATTTAGTCCTTAAACTTCAAAGACAAGTACCACCTTAGTCCTTGAACTTTGATTATAAATATTAATTTCATTTAAAGCCGTGAATCTCAATGAATACAATTGAAGTAGGATTCCAGTATTTATAGTATGTACATACAAATAAATTACATATCTACCCTTAAATATAATACACTATC